GGAGTCTGGCGTGGTGGGGACAACCATGGAAGATTGGGGATGGCCCCAAGGGGACAGGAATGGTGGGGTCATGGTGGGCTTGGGGCCAACCCTGGTGGAGGTGACCCACTGGGGACAACCCCGTCCTTCTTCTCCTGCAGGTTCCAACTACTATGTGCGGATCCTGAGCACCATCGACCGGGAGCTGCTGAAGCCCAATGCCTCGGTGGCCCTGCACAAGCACAGCAACGCGCTGGTAGACGTCCTCCCACCCGAGGCCGACAGCAGCATCATGATGCTGACGTCAGGTGGGCCACCACCACCACCTGGGCCACCACCATGTCGCAGGGAGCCAAGTTTTGGGGTGCAGAGCCAACGCTCTCAGTGGTGGGACCAAGGGTGTGGTCTTGGGTGCTCTCAGGTTGGGGAGATGTTGGCGGGACCAAGGGTGTCCTCAGGGGTGTTCCCAGGTTGGGGAGATGTTGGTGGGACCAAGGGTGTCCTCATGAGTGCTCTCCGGTTGGGGAGATGTTGGCGAGACCAAGGACGTCCTCATGGGTGTTCCCAGGTTGGGGAGATGTTGGTGCACCTGGAGACCAGGGATCTCCAGGGTTGGACCTGGAGGGGTGGTGGGACCAAGGGTGTCCTCATGAGCACTCTCAGGTTGGGGAGATGTTGGTGGGACCAAGGGTGTCCTCATGGGTGTTCCCAGGCTGGGGAGATGTTGGTGGGACCAAGGGCATCGTCATGGGTGTTCCCAGGTTGGGGAAATGTTGGTGCACCTGGGGACCAGGGATCTCCAGAGCTGGACCTGGAGGGGTGGTGGGACCAAGGTTCATGGTTCTCCACCAGGTTCCTGGGTTCTACCAGGTCCTGGAGATGCCACAGTGCTGCAGGTTGGAGCTCTTGTTTGGAGGAACCTTCAGAGCTCCACCCAAATGGTGGAGGGCCAACTGGATGTGGTCCAGCTCCACCCAGAGCGGGGTGGTAGGTCTCCATCCTTGGAGCTGCCCAACCATCACCTGGAGAAGGTCCCAAGTGACCTGTTCAGTGGGGAAGTGATCACATTGAGGAATCTCCTGGCCTTGAGCAGCCGGAACAGTGGCCAAGACCTAGGCAGGTGGTGGGTCTCCATGCTTGGAGGTACCCAGCCATCACCTGGAGAAGTCCCAAGTGACTTCCAGTGGCCCAAGGTGCTTTGGGAAGGAAGTTGGACCAGGATGTTCTGGTGGAAGCCAGGGTGGGGTGGTGGATCTCCATCCTTGGAGGTACCCAACCATCATCTGGAAGAAGGTCCCAAGTGACCTCGTGTGGCCCAGGGTGCTTTGGGGAGGAGGTTGGACCAGGAAGTTCTGGTGGAAGCCAGGGTGGGGTGGTGGATCTCCATCCTTGGAGGTACCCAACCATCATCTGGAAGAAGGTCCGAGGTGGCTTGGTCTGGTTGGAGCTGTTCTCTGGTGGCCAAGGTTGCCCCGCAGGGCCCTCCCTGGCCATGGGTGGTGGCACCTGGTAGGTGTGTCCCCCCACCACCCTGATGGTCCCATCTCTGTTGCAGACCAGAAGCCCGACGTGATGTACGCGGACATCGGGGGCATGGACATCCAGAAGCAGGAGGTGCGGGAGGCGGTGGAGCTGCCCCTCACCCACTTTGAGCTCTACAAGCAGGTATGGTCACATGACCCCCACCCCGGGTAGGGGAGGGGCCACCCGGGACCTTTGGGGACCCATGACGTCACCCCCGGGTGTTGCGTCCCCCACCCAGATCGGCATTGACCCCCCCCGGGGCGTCCTCATGTACGGCCCCCCCGGCTGTGGGAAGACCATGTTGGCCAAGGCTGTGGCCCACCACAC